GTACACGTTTATCATTTACTAATACCCAACAGCTTTCTTATATTTGAAAATTTTCCGGACTCCACCAAAAAAGTTCTTTAAGAAACTATCATTAACATTTGACACAGTTCACTATTTGTTACGAGGGAGGAGTGCAGAGAAAGGGACATCCATGTGTTAGAGAAGCATGTGCACAAGTGCGCACCAAGTTATTGATTCATTAGCCTGTGCTGTGCCGTCTCCATCCTTTCTCGCATAAACATGGGTACTATTTATATTTATGTGGCAATTTTGTACAATGATAAAATTTGCAATTCATCGGTCCGTCTCTGACTCAAACGGACTGTAGTAACTTTCAACCTCAATATTTCATATTAAAACCTGTTTTGAGCAGTGTCATTGTAGTCTTATTTCGTTGAAACCAGACAAAGTGATGCTAATTCTGACTAAGTACAGGTGTCAACATACCTAGGATCATACAGACCATAAATGCTGCAGATTTCTGGGGCCCGATCCACAAAGTGTTCACAACATTATGACCTGTCAGAACTCTATAGCTTACTAGTGGTGGTCCTATTAATTGAAATAATCGAAGATTGGTCATAGTGACTAAACGACCAAGCAATCGATCATAATTTCTCATAATCGAACACAAACAATTCTGGAACACTTGTTTTCATTAACAATATTTTTCACAGGGTTGGTTTTGTCTGTTATATTTCGTAAGCACTACAAGCTCGTTTCAAGTCATGATTGAATTTATCTTAAAGATTCCAGGAAATTTATGTTCCTAACATACTAGTCATCCTTTAAAGATATGAAATTTTGCCAAAACACCCCAAAAGAACTACATGTTTTTTTCCCTTATTTTTAAGTGCATTAACAAATTTCATAAATGACGCTAACCAATTATTTTCGATGATTGATCGGTAGTAATGAACCAATCATCAATTATGAGATTTTAACCAATGCCCAACACTATAGTTTACCATAGGCTTACAAACGTCGTAGTGCTACAAACGCAGATCAGGACCCAGGGTCCCGATCCACAAAACGTTCGTAGCGCTACGACATTCATAAGCCTGTGATAAACTATAATGTTACGACAGGTCATAACGTTATGAACGCTTTGAGGATCAGGACCCAGAAGTCTAAATCCATAATGTTCCGAACAGAACCAGATTCCTCCTCAAGTAAATGAGATGGGTTAACTTGCATTGAACTATATTCCAGTTATGTCATGGTATGTAAAGTTTATGTCGGGGAAAAAGACTTAAAATATGAAACTGACCTCTTTGGTGAACACATCAGCAGCTGACAAAACTAGAAAAATAATCAGGGCTAACTGGGATTTGAAAACAAGATCACAGGATTCTGACTTGCCAAAGGGAGACAACTCTGCACAAGTTGTTGTGCCCTGGATAACTGATCCACCCCTGTCTCCAATTCTCCTGAAATATAGGTTGATGTGTGCCAGTGATGATGATTATGATATTTTGATATTTAACGTACGCTTTCAGACATGATGCGTATTTGTGTACTGGTAATGACGTTTGCACGTTTGTGCACAGCCGTGGACCCTCGTTTAGACCAGTGACTCTGCAACATTCCATACCAGAGTTACACAAGTAGCACACATTCCAAAGGCATTCGCTTGTACCAATACATGAATTCTAACATCACAGAACAAAGCAAAGAATGCACAAATATTGGATTTCTTCAGCCCTGTTCGCACAAAGAATGTCAGTTATTCCAATAACTCCAAAACATTAACAGAAATACAAGATCAATTTATGTCAGGTATTTAATACTTATTCTTAAAGTCAAATGGATAATTGTAGAGAAAGTGCAGTTCGCTGGAAATGCCAATCAGAAGGATAAAACAACATGTATATGAAACTATATCTGAAATGTGTTGTCATGATTGCAAACTGAAACAACATTCTTTTCACCATGTAAACACAAAACATTACAATCAAGCTCAACACTTAACTAAGAATGATGCAATGAAACATTTAAGTACAGGTCTCCCACAGATGAGCAAATATATAAATTGTATAAAAATTGATTTCCTTAAATCAATGGGGCCATGTCAAAAGTTCATTTCAGAAACCATACAATGGTATAACTGAGTTATATGCTGGACAAAAAAGTTAGGTATCATGAATATTTTGGGGATTATTTTTGTGAGTGAGTAAATATACTTAGTTCCAAAAGAAACGCGACATGTCCATTTGAAATGAGAACTGTTATCCCACATAAGTGCTTCCAGCCACTATATGCTTTACACAGAACGCGCCAAAGAAAGATGAAAGACAACAGCAACGACAGTGGATTTAAGATCGGATGAAATTTTTATTGTGCCCAACCTATAGAGTCTGCATTAGACACGTTTAGAAGCTTAAGCTGATATTCGATGTTATCAGTACCTGGTATGACCACCATTATTGTTTATCACATGAGTACACCGTCTTCCCATGGACATGAACAAACGTCGAATGAAAGCTCGGGGAGTGTTATTGTACTCATTCAACACTGCATTCTCCAACTGCCGCCGATTTTGTGGAGGAACTGGTCTTTGACAAAGGCCAGAGATGTTCCACTGGATTCAAATCAGGACTAAGAGGTGGCCAAACCATTGTCTGGATGTGGTGATTGGCCAGAAATTGTCCTGTGATAAAGGCGGTGTGGGGGCGGGCATTATCGTGTTGGAACTGCAACTGTGGTCTGGGTCTAAAGAACAGGAAGGTAACAGGCCTTAAAACTTAGCGTCGTGCAGTTACATCCCGTCCACGACCTTGACCATTGTTTTGGAAGATTACAGCTGGCACAAGCCTTCCCCAGCTTATTCCACACCACATCATAAGGGATGGCCCACCTCAGCGGTCACTTTCCAGGACACATGGGTCTCTGAAATGTTCATTTCGTCGATGCCATACGCTCACTCTCCCATCTGCAACGTGGACACAAAAACGTGGACACAAAAACGACACTCGTCTGGGAAAACAGAGTTCTGCCACTGTGCATATCTCCAATGCTGATGTTGGAGAGCCCATGCTAAGTGCAGATGATGGTGACATGGCGTCAAAAGCGGTCCAACATAGGGTCTCCTACAGTGTAGCCGGTGTGCTCTCACACGTCGACGCAGAGTGTTTCCTGAAATTGGTCTGTTGTGAATCCCAATTGTCTGACATGCTGTAACAATTGCTGGAAGAAAACGGTTGCGAAGATGTGACGTTACAATGTAACGGTCTTGCTTGTGTGACGCCACTCTGACCTGCAATCTCTCACCGAATTGGTTTGATTTGGGCGCTCAATCAGTCGGTAAATTGTCGTCCGATGTACTCCCATATGTTGTGCAACGCTGACAACACTGGAACCAGCATCAATCATCCCAAGACCACGCAGACGTGCTTCATTGCTCAAACGTGGCATATAGTTTTCTGAACCATTCAGAAAAAGAACACAACAGAAACTACCGTGGCATGTTTTCAAGGGTTCTTTCTCTCGTTTTTCTTGAAGAAAGTGTCGTATCATTAAATTCACATGCACAAAACGTCAGGGCATGCGCTTATGTGATTCGTTTCTGTTGTTATTTCCCATAAAAATATTCAATAATTAGATTCAATCATTACGGCTAATCTGACGTTAAAAGTCTTGTTTCAGAAGTTTAATTTCGAAAATTGTTTTCAAAGAACATTTAACATGCACATTCGTTATGATTGTGAAGTAGATAAGACAATTATGGAAATTTCAAAAACAAACATGAATGTCGCGTTTCTTTTGGAACTAAGTATATAATTTAAGCCTCCTTTTGTAATATTCCAGCAGTATCATGGCAAGAGACACCAAAAATGGGCTTCACACATTGTGCCCATATGGGGAATCAAGGCGAACACTTTAACCACCAGGATACTCCACCGACACAAGTATCTTAAAATATATATGGCATATCAAAATATTTACTCTCCCTAACTTTCTCTGCTCAGCATATTTTGTACCTGAACAAATGAGCGAAAATGGACAGAACAGAAGTTCACCTGTTCCTTATACAACAAGAAGTTGAAATGAAGTTTAAACATGGTCCATGTTACTGGTAGGACAGGGTAAATTGATGTGACCTTGAGCAGTTTCAATAGAAAAAACAACAGTTTTCATTCATCAATATATCCAGCCAGCATGCTGAATCTGCAGCGAATGCCGCGTAATTTGAATAATCCTGCTACACAAACAGTTAACAATGAATCAACAATTTAACAGTACATACACTGGTGGGTTCAATCTGATGTACTGTCAGGGTTCTACACAGGTCCCAGGGGTACCAAGGTGGGCGTGTCCAGTACATACACTGGTGGGTTCAATCTGATGTACTGTCAGGGTTCTACACAGGTCCCAGGGGAGGCGTGTCCAGTACATACACTGGTGGGTTCAATCTGATGTACTGTCAGGGTTCTACACAGGTCCCAGGGGTACCAAGGTGGGCGTGTCCAGTACATACACTGGTGGGTTCAATCTGATGTACTGTCAGGGTTCTACACAGGTCCCAGGGGGGCGTGTCCAGTACATACACTGGTGGGTTCAATCTGATGTATTGTCAGGGTTCTACACAGGTCCCAGGGGTACCGAGGTGGGCGTGTCCAGTACATACACTGGTGGGTTCAATCTGATGTACGATCAGGGTTCTACACAGGTCCCAGGGGTACCGAGGTGGGCGTGTCCAGTACATACACTGGTGGGTTCAATCTGATGTACTGTCAGGGTTCTACACAGGTCCCAGGGGTACCGAGGTGGGTGTGTCCAGTACATACACTGGTGGGTTCAATCTGATGTACTGTCAGGGTTCTACACAGGTCCCAGGGGTACCGAGGTGGGTGTCCAGTACATACACTGGTGGGTTCAATCTGATGTACTGTCAGGGTTCTACACAGGTCCCAGGGTACCGAGGTGGGCGTGTCCAGTACATACACTGGTGGGTTCAATCTGATGTACTGTCGGTGGGCGCCAGTGGTCCAGTACATACACTGGTGGGTTCAATCTGATGTACTGTCAGGGTTCTACACAGGTCCCAGGGTGGTCATGTCACCAAGGTGGGCATGTCCAGTACATACACTGGTGGGTTCAATCTGATGTATTTTCAGGGTTCTACACAGGTCCCAGGGGTACCGAGGTGGGCTTGTCCAGTACATATACTGGTGGGTTCAATCTGATGTACTGTCAGGGTTCTACACAGGTCCCAGGGTACCAAGGTGGGCGGTCATGTACATACACTGGTGGGTTCAATCTGATGTACTGTCAGGGTTCTACACAGGTCCCAGGGGTACCAAGGTGGGCGTGTCCAGTACATACACTGGTGGGTTCAATCTGATGTACTGTCAGGGTTCTACACAGGTCCCAGGGGTACCGAGGTGGGCGTGTCCAGTACATACACTGGTGGGTTCAATCTGATGTACTGTCAGGGTTCTACACAGGTCCCAGGGGTACCGAGGTGGGCGTGTCCAGTACATACACTGGTGGGTTCAATCTGATGTACTGTCAGGGTTCTACACATGTCCCAGGGGGACCAAGGTGGGTGTGTCCAACAAATAATATGCTTACATACATGCACATTTGGCACCATCAGCAGTTCAGGTTCAAATAACAAAAGCCGTACAAGTCAATACTGAAGTGAAGGTAAAGTAATAAAATACCAAAATAAAATTTGTCAAAAATAAGAAGCAAAAACAGGGCACACCTTTGGTGAACAGCAGCATGTCAGCCCAATGAACACATGGACATTTAAGGCCTCATGTTATGGAAGTGTGATTAGACAGTGAATCATGAAACATCATTATCTGAACAAGCTTAATGCGATTAATATACAACTGTAAAAAGTTAATGAACCCCTGATATTTCATGACCACAGTTCAGCCGTCATGTCATCACAGACTAACAGCAGTCATGTAAATACAAAATCACAAGAGAAGTGAATCATGATCAAAATTATCCAAATAGATCTATGTAAGGGAGACAACTCTTCAAAACAGCTACAGCAAAATTTGCTTTGAAAATAAAAAAGCTTTAAATCTATTTCCATTATGATTCATATTCTCTCCTGAATTGTTTTTGTTGTTTTTAAAAGGCAAAAATCTGTTTTTATATGGAATTGTCAAATACACGAATAAGGGAAGAAATGCACACTGAGTCAAAATCTTTCCATTCGTAGAGAACAGAGGTGTAAGGGCACTCATTGGAGCTAGGGACTTATTACCGTAAATAAAATATGTTTTTTAATCATTCATAACAATTGTTCAAGATAACAATACTTCACTGATCACACGTGCAATGGTTTGTCAAGGAAAATGTTGTCCTGAAGTGAAAATGACTTATTGAATGAAATATTGCAAATGATGAAAATCTGGGTTATAATAGTGATGAATAAAAAAATATTAAAAATTCACAAATTAATCATCAACAGCCCTTCAATATCAACCTATAAGCATGCTGCACGAACAGACATCTTTTCAACAACACACTTGCTCCACTTAATACAAATGATGAAATTTGGGGGGGGGTCACAATACATAGTGAGTGAGTGAGTATGGTTTTACGTCACTTTAAACAATACTTCAGCAATATCATGTCGGGGGACACTAGAAATGGGCTTCACACAATGTACCCATGTGGTGAATCAAACCTGGGTCTGGGGGTGAATGAGTGGACGCTTTAACCACTAGGCCACCCCACCGCCCCTCACAATACATAGGTCACGATACTGCATGTATCATTTCACATAGGAAACGATACTGTTTCACCTCAATGAAATTTTAGTTGAACCTCATAAGGTCAGATGAATACAAGTAGTAAGAAATGAATATTCAACAGCAATTTATCCCACGATAAGAATGGAGTCAGGTACAGCATCAATTTCCTGATTAATTTTACTGATATCAAACTTGAAGATATATCCAGGAGACCTGACAGTAGCAGTCATCACAAACCATTACATACATAGACTTGTACCCACTGCATTCTTCCATCACCCTGAATACAAACAACCCATTGCTACTTTTAACCATCTAATAAAAACAAGCGTGAGTGAGTGAGGTTTTCAGTTGCTTTTAGCAATATTCCAGCAATGTCATGGCAGGGGGCAACAGAAATGGGCTTCATCCGTTGGTTTCACATTAATTTTCGACTCGCTGTTCAAAGTTGAGTACATCCATCCATTTGCCTATGCTATTCAATAATTGATGTCCGTCCTATTTTGGTGGCAACTGCATCAGAGATGTGGGTTTTTTTAGTTGTGAGAAGGGGATGTGCAGGAAGGAAGGTGGACGGGAGGTGGTGAGATGTGTTCATACAAGAGCTTGTTAACAAACGTAAAGCTATTTATTTAACTAACCCTGGTCCCTTCCATTCATAAATGAAATGAGATCAGTTAAATTCGACATAAAACCATATATCTGTTTTGATTTGTGCTTTCTTTAGAGTGTGTTTACACTATCGGTAAAGCTTACGACCAAACCGGAAGTTGTCCAGTGGATAGTTTTTACACACTCTGCGCATGCCCACACCGAGTCGAAAAATAATGTGAAACCAACGAACACATTCTACCCAAATGGATAGCAAGCAAACGCTTTAACCTCTAGGCTACTCCTAATCAAACAAGAGGGAAACTTGTGCTGAAATTATTTCGTACAAATGGCAGTAGAGTCAAACTTAAGTCTAGAATGTTTGGCCAAGTCTAGTTTGCCTCATACTAACATTAAACTTTCTTTGGGGCTGTTTTTGGGCTGAACTTTATTTGTGAGACTGTCAGTCTACTACAAGCCTTGTTCACCCTCACTTGCACAGGTCATCAGAATCAAACGAGGCTTATTTTACTTAAATAAGTTTGTTCCACAGCTTTACTGACTGACTTGCAATAGACACATGTCAACAGTGACATGGTAGGATGTTCACATTCTAGCCATAGGTATTGTTATTCTCATATTACTGGAGTATTGCTAATAGCGGTGTAAAACCCAACTCACTCTCACTAACGGGTGATAGAGGAATACAGTGTGTACAAACCTGTGAAGTACTTATGATTGTGGAGATGTCAGTATCTCTTCAATGCATCTACATCTACAAGGAAGGTTACAAATTCATCATTAACAATAGATTAAGCATCAAAGGAAATCCTCCTCTTTTTTAAAAATCCTGTATTTATATATTATGGTTCTAAAAAATAAATAAATTGACATCAGAAAGGTTTTGTATTTCTGGAGAAAAAGAAAGAGTCAACATCCTTGTTTATCTAGTGTTCTATGCATCTCAACTGTATTATCCTATGTTAGGGAATTGGTTTTATTACTGCTTGGAGTGGTATTCCAGTTATACCATGGCAAGCCATATGATATGGTAGTTAGCCTGAAGTGATGCAGGTCAGTGGCCGTATGCATATGTCGGGCGTAAATTCTAGTCCGGGCGTAAGTAAAATGTGCACCTGGGCGTAACATTAAGCCGGTATGCATATCTTAGATGTAGCTAAAGTTACACCAGTTGCGAGCGCTCTATATTTACGCCATCTACCCAGCAGGCGTAAGCCAGGTGTAGCCCTGTAATGGTGGCAGTTGTGGAAATGAACTGGTAAATTGTCCGGATACATTTGGACACAGATGATGCTTATGTAATAGAAAAAGTGTTGATTGTGTGCAATATTTAGTTAAAATCAGGTACTTGAGTCCAATTTTTGTTTACCCGTTAGACCCCAAGTTCTTCATGTAACTGAATCTGTCCCAGTACACCACCACTGATAGCTGCAGAAATTGACCGGCAGATATACAAATAGTCTTCAGGCAGCCAGTATAAACAATGTAAATGGCACACAGAAATCATGAAAACAATATGCTTGAACTATAAAAATAACGTCAAAGGCATGACAACAATCTGAGACAGTTGATATCAATCTAAGCAACCCTGATATCGATCTAACAGTCTAAGACACGCTGGTATCAATCTGAGACGCTGTTATATAAATCTAAGACACAATGGTAACAATCAGAGATACATTGATATCTGTCACTCAATCAAAGATAGTCATATCTATCTAAGAGACAATCATATAAATCTAAGACACTATAGCAATGTAAGACACAATATGACATTAATCTAAGACACAATGACATCTAAGACACAATGACATCATAGACACAATGTGATCAAAGACACAATGGTATTCAGCTTGAATGATGAAGCAGTATTATGCAACAATAAAAGCACCTTTCTACACACACTGATCTCTATTTTACAATGAAACTACTACTATTTTTTTAAGTAGGTTTACACAGAAATAACTGAATTTGACAAAACAAGACTATTACTGAAATATTTACCAAATTACTAACAATAAAAAACATTTTCATTCTCATTAATGCTGTTTTCCTCTTTTCCCTACTTTCATTAGTATTTTCCACAGAACTGTTTCTGTAAAGTTTCCTTTCAGGTTCCCTGGAACCATGGTAACACATTGAAATATGTACACTCATCTAAGTAACAAAAAACATGGTGGGGAAACTTATATCATCACATCCAACCTCGACAAAAACATCTCATAGTTACTTCCCCTTTGACTCTGGAGGTATTACTCAAAGCATATTTGACTATAGTTGTGCAGAAAACAGTCTCAGTAGCAGGTATCTAAGAGCAGATAACTCTAATCACCATCTCATCTCACTGGCCAAGAGAGTACTGTTATTATAACTGAGGCAATTTTTCAAGAGTTCAAAGGGGAGGCACTTAAGAAATACAACACATACAAAAGTCCAATGTATGAGGACATTTCACCTGAATCAAATTTATCACAATCTAAGTAAAATGAATTTTAAAGCTATACAATGCAATTAAATACATCATTTTGAACATACATCTTCCAACAATAAGTGATTCTTCTGAAAACAGGATATATGTGATGTAGTACCCATGAAACCATAGCAACACAGAGATGCAGCTGATCCATGTATACAAGAGCTCTCATAGCCAAGAGGTGTCTATAAATAGCAATGTTTCGGTGCCATAGCTATTCAAAGTTTAGAAGAAAAATGAGCTGACACATGTATGCTAATAATGTAAGATTTATTGTTGATTTATTTCTCAAAAATTGATAACCAGGTTGCATTTTGTAATATTGGTTGCCCCAGTGCATGTAACAAAGCCCTAAATCAAGCCCTGTGGTAGTCAATACCAATGTGATTGCAGTGTTTAAATTAAGTAAAGGGAGCCTAAAGGGATCCTCCCTATTTCTAGCACTGAATAATGATATGAGTAGTATCTACCGGACAACTAATATTGCTATACCTTGAAGGTCTATTGCACGACTTAGTACATGCATACAGAGTAAAGTATTTTCTGCTGACTCTGTTGCAATTCAAAGAATGTCAATAAAAAGTAAAGAATCATCTAGAATGCCAAAGAACCATTAAACATTTCTTGGGCTACTACTGGTATCAAGCTACACATTCAACACACTGTATTTGAGTATTTAGCATCAACTGGTCCAGTTTGTCTAAAGTACATTGACAATAGTCATTAGACATTCCTCAAACATCTGAAGGGATGTGATCAACCAAGTCTCATAACCATGTTGAGATCTTATATCTGAGTCTGATCCTGAGATCCAAAGTCTTAAGTCATGATCCTGAGATCCTAAGTCTTAAGTCATGATCCTGAGATCCTAAGTCTTAAGTCATGATCCTGAGATCCTAAGTCTTAAGTCATGATCCTGAGATCCTAAGTCTTCAGTCATGATCCTGAGATCCTAAGTCTTCAGTCATGATCCTGAGATCCTAAGTCTTAAGTCATGATCCTGAGATCCTAAGTCTTAAGTCATGATCCTGAGATCCTAAGTCTTCAGTCATGATCCTGAGATCCTAAGTCTTAAGTCATGATCCTGAGATCCTAAGTCTTAAGTCATGATCCTGAGATCCTAAGTCTTAAGTCATGATCCTGAGATCCTAAGTCTTAAGTCATGATCCTGAGATCCTAAGTCTTAAGTCATGATCCTGAGATCCTAAGTCTTCAGTCATGATCCTGAGATCCTAAGTCTTCAGTCATGATCCTGAGATCCTAAGTCTTCAGTCATGATCCTGAGATCCTAAGTCTTAAGTCATGATCCTGAGATCCTAAGTCTTCAGTCATGATCTCCAGTCCTGAGAAATGGACAAGCAAGGTGTCTACTGGGCATCATATCCATGGTATGTCTTACTGACAGAGTATAGTTAAGTACATTTGCAGAAAGGGGTGTAGATACTTAGATTGATTGAGTCTAGACCAGACAATCCAGTATTCAGCAAAAGGAGCATCTGTAAATAATCAAGTCTGACCAGACAATCCAGTGATCATGTGTTAACCAAGTGGGCTAGATGGCATGTGTTAACCAATCCAGCTAGTCTGACCACCTGATCCGCCTTTCACGACAAGCATGGGTTACTAAAGATCAACATTCTAACCCAGACCTTCACAGATTGGAGTAATAATGAAGTAACACTATAAACATAACTGCAGCCACAGAATTTGGCAGCATAGAATTATTCCTTGGAAAAGTGGAGCAGTGTAAACAGAAGTGTTACTCATTACATTGAAGTGAAGATTTAAGAAACTTAAGACCAATCAATATCAGGTCATGACCAGAACTGTCCATTTTCAAATGTTTCAGACTGTCTATATGGTTATCTCCATGGCATGTCAATGGTCAGATCTAGAATAATGCCTACCCTTGCAATATCAACATTAGAACTTGACAAAAGCAACAGAACTTGTTTCTACTGTAAGAAATCCAGCAACATTCACCAACCATTCATAATTAGACAGTAACCATGGAAACAGGCAGTAAACAATGTTAATAATTGTTGAGTATTTATGGACTTTGCTCAAAAGCAACAAGTATATGTTTGAAAAATGAAAATGATTGACTGAACTTCGATTGAAGATTATCTGTGAAGTATATGTGCATCTGTGACCTTTTGCTATCTGATCTCCTCAACATTGGTCCTTTGAACTCTGTGAACTATCCACAACCGCAGTGAAACTGCTTTGTTGAGTCTTTGATGTCGTCATAGCGACAACCGGCACACACAGTATGGAACCATTTGTCACAGTCATCACACTGGACCTGTAAAGGAAAACAGAGAAGGAAAGTGAGGCAATATTGTATGGTACTTTAAACTGTATTGGATGAACATGCTCCAATTTGGGGATTGATGAACCTAAACTCGTGCACTGTCTGGAACTGACAGACCACCTGCTCTGAAGTCTTCGATTGACGGACAAATGACTGTTGTCCTGTATGGAACTGACCACCTACCCTGATGGTCTTGGATCGATGGACAACCTACTATTGTCCTGTCTGGGACTACAGTCCGAGGTGGACCTCTTAGATGTAACCTATCTGGAATCAATAGATCACCTTCCCTGCCCGAGATTGCTGGACCACCTTCCCTGCCCTGCCCGAGATTGCTGGACCACCTTCCCTGCCCTGCCCGAGATTGCTGGACCACCTTCCCTGCCCTGCCCGAGATTGCTGGACCACCTTCCCTGCCCCGCCTGAGATTGCTGGACCACCTTCCTTGCCCTGCCCAAGATTGCTGGACCACCTTCCCTGCCCTGCCCGAGATTGCTGGACCACCTTCCCTGCCCTGCCCGAGATTGCTGGACCACCTTCCCTGCCCTGCCCGAGATTGCTGGACCACCTTCCCTGCCCTGCCCAAAATTGCTGGACCACCTTCCCTGCCCCACCTGCTGGACCCTGCCCTGCCCGAGATTGCTGGACCACCTTCCCTGCCCCCGAGATTGCTGGACCACCTTCCCTGCCCTGCCCGAGATTGCTGGACCACCTTCCCTCCCTGCCCTGCCCGAGATTGCTGGACCACCTTCCCTGCCCTGCCCAAGATTGATGGACCACCTTCCCTGCCCTGCCCGAGATTGATGGACCACCTTCCCTGCCCTGCCTGAGATTGCTGGACCACCCTGCCCTACCTGAGATTGCTGGACCACATTCCCTGCCCTGCCTGAGATTGCTGGACCACATTCCCTGCCCTGCCTGAGATTGATGGACCACATTCCCTGCCCTGCCCGAGATTGCTGGACCACATTCCCTGCCCTGCCTGAGTGATGGACCACCTTCTCTGCCCTGTCTGAGATTGATGGACCACCTTCTCTGCCCTGTCTGAGATTGATGAACCACCTTCCTGCCCTGTCTGAGATTGATGGACCACCTTCCCTGCCCTGTCTGAGATTGATGGACCACCTTCCCTGCCCTGTCTGAGATTGATGGACCACATTCCCTGCCCTGCCTGAGATTGCTGGACCACATTCCCTGCCCTGCCTGAGATTGATGGACCACCTTCTCTGCCCTGTGCCTGAGACTGATGAACCACCTTCCCTGCCCTGTCTGAGATTGATGAACCACCTTCCCTGCCCTGTCTGAGATTGATGAACCATCTTCCCTGCCCTGCTCGAGATTGATGAACCATCTTCCCTGCCCTGCTCGAGATTGATGAACCACCTCCCTGCCCTGCCCAAGATTGATGGACCACCTACCCATTGTACCCTGCGGTCAGTTGGCTTGCTGCAGTCCTGGGCTGCACAGGTCTCTTCCTCATACCACTCCACACCTTCCTCCAGCTTCTCATCATTCTTCATCCTCATCCGTGTCCTCTTGGTGCGGGGTGCAAAACGCCTGGCTGAAAAGACAACACAGATATCTCTGTAAGGTCATGTTGAATCTACAACCGACTAAATACTTACTGAGCTTTCAAACAGCATTGGATAGGTATTGAAAGCCATGAAACACAAGGATGGTGAAATGGAATTCTGCTATGACCTACATGGCAAGTTAGTGGTCAATATAGCATTATTTTGCCAGAAATTCTAAATATTAAATTCCTATTTTTTTTAATTCTGAGATTTTCTCACTAGTCATATACAAACAAGCAATAATACTATTTCTAATTCATATCTTGAGGTTGATTAATAAACACGAATCAGAACACTAGTATTTATTCCAAAAACAATATTTTATCAATTCCTCATTTTAAGCATTGAATGGTTCAGCCTTGTTCATACTTAAAATTCAATATATCAATTTCTGAGTCAATATGGGTGCTTTTATCGATGCATATACAGTGTAATTAGTGTTATAATTGAATGGTATTTCACCATGTGGTGACACTTTTAAGTTTCAATATTGATACTCAAGTTACCAATCAATGACTTAATTCATTCTCTTTGATGATTGAATACCTGAATGGCAGTGTAGAGTGATCGTATCGTTCAGCTTTGTATCACATTGCTTCACATCACATCACATCCTATTGTGTACAGTATCATGACCTCAGTGTGGACATATGCATAATATCTCAGGGTTTTTAAAAGCCCAGATACAAGTGAGTGAGCATGTTCAGTTTTATGCTGCTTTGAGCAATATTCCAACAATATCATGGCAGGGGACACCAGAAATGGGCTTCACATTTTGTACGCATGTGGGGAATCAAACCCAGGTCTTCGGCGTCTTACAAGCAAACGCTTTAGCCACTTGGCTACCCCACCGCCCCAGCCTAAATATGAAGACCTAGGAACCAGGGAAATAGGTAAAGCACAAAAAGTATTTTGGGGGATAAAAATATCATTTACACTTATCCAGACTCATACTTATCGCTATGGCACATGAGTCAGGAAAAGGTAAAATAATAGAAGTGGCCTGGTTCACAATCGCATCAGAGTGGATTTATGTTTTCCCTGAACTTATACCATGAGTACTGTGTAATATTGATGCATACCTTTTCTCCTCTTGTTGGGGTTGGAACCTGACTGATTGCTGGTCCTTGTGTCGGAGGATTTGCCTGGAATACGGGAACATATCACATCACAGGAATATCACAGAAATAACACGGAATACCATGTGTATATCACATGACTATAACATGAATATCACAATCCGTAAGGCAGACATGTCATTTGTCAAACTGTCAACAATGTTCTACATGTATGCTGGGAATATGATAGTGAGCTATATCAGGATCAATAAATGACACAATACAACATTCAAGAAGCATGTCCATAATTGTTCTTCTGTACGTTTTGTGAGTGGGTGAGTTTAGTTTTACGACATTTTTTAACCAATATTCCAGCAGTATTAAAGTGGGGACACCAGAAATGGGCTTCACATAATGTACCCATGTGGGGAATCGAACCCGGGTCTTCGGCGTGACGAGTGAACGCTTTAACCACTAGGCTACCCCACCGCCCAGCAAGTTGTGAATATTCTTATAAACCAGTCCTCGTTTTATGTCCGAAATGTGCCAGGGCAGGGTAACAAGTTTTAATGTATATTGGTATGACATGTCCAAGGATCGAACGCCGCAACAACAATCTGCTCTGCAGTGAGATGCTCTATCACAGCACAAGGAAAAGATGGCTGTACATTAGTAAAGTATTTTCAAGTTGTCAGACAAAGAACAGTATAACTGCTAATATTAGTGAGTGTTATAAACCATTTACAACCAAAAATCATTCATATGGTGAAACCAAACACTGAAGACATTCAGGGTGAATTGGGATTCAAACCCAATACCAGAGACCTCTGGCTCACAGGGAATGGAAGCAGGGACATCAGCTGCAACTCAAGAGTATTGTAGCATTCGTCATATATCTATTTGGCATCTGCAATCAGTGTACTTAGGCATCTCCAATACCGAGCAACTACTCCACGCTATAAGTCATTGCACAATGAAATATGTTATTGAGAATAAATAATCATCTTTTACCATGTTTACTCTGCCATTTGCTCCTTTTGGGTCATCTTCCAAACCAAAGAACCCGATTATAACGGTCTTCATACAATGTCATGTTAAATGACCACTATGCAGGTTTAGGTCCTATTTTCCCCACTAATCTAAGCGTCACACCACATTATATTGTGAAATGTTTCTGTATTGTAAATATTGTTAGGCAGGAATACAGCCATTGGTGAAAACCAAGAACTTATCTTGGATTTCAAAACTTGAGTGAGTGAGTGAGTTTAGTTTTACGCTGCTTTTAGCAATATTCCAGCCATATCAAGGCGGGGGGACACCAGAAATGGGCTTCACAAATTGTACCCATGTGGGGAATCGAACCCGGGTCTTCGGCATGATGAGTGAACTCTTTAACCACTAGGCTATCCCACTGCCCCTTCAAAACTTGAACTATCATCAATCAGGCATTTGATAACATAATCATTTTGTTCAAATTTGGGATTTTGTTCAAGGCGTATTTCCTAAGAATTCAAATATATCCAAAGGATTCTTTCAATGCAAAAATGTAAAATTTAGTACCAATGCCTTTTCTTGAATGGTGCTTATCAAGGGTAGTTCCTGTCATGTAACCATATTTGCATACATGTTGGACAGTGATATGAGATTGTTCATCGCATTGACAAAACAATTATTTAATGAACATGTATAAAACTTTACCCTAGAGTGACTGAAATCAAATTTTGGAATGTAAATATTGAATAGTAACAGCATTCCAAGTTCCCAGAATTCCTGCCCTGACTTAGACAATCTGCCTGATAACATGGCTGATTTATTGTGTTGAACAGAAACAATGCATCATACAGATCAATAATGACTGAAAATATGCTATACATGTACTTTGACATTTAACAACATCGACTGACCTTAATGTAAATGGTACAAAATGAGTGTTTTTGCTCGTGTCAGTCATCTCAATAACTGTGTTAATTACCCCATTCTTATAAATATAATAGTATTATTACTTCCGTTCAACCTTGATATTTGAAGGGTGATTTTCGTAAAATATCATATTCCAAATTATTTGAACGAATTGAATTTAAATTGATGACTGCACTTTTGAAACACTATATTTCTAATTAATCACAGCATTATAGCATGGACAACTGTGAGTGAGTGAGTGAATTGGGTTTTACGCCGTTTTTAGCAATATTCCAGCAATATCACGGCAGGGGGTTGGACAACTGTGAAGATCAAATGGTCTTCAGCAAGCCATGCTTATCGTAAGTGGCGACAAATTGGATTGGGTGGCTGGGCTTACTAACTTGGTTTGCACTTGTTATTGTATCCCAATAGCGTAGATCAATCACGACATCAATCACTGGATTGTCTGGACCATGGCGTCCATTAAGATGCTTCTTATTTGTTGTTTATACACCATACTCAACAATTCTCTAGCTAAATGACTGTGGTTTCCAAATAATTATGTCTGGACCAGACAATCGAGTGATCAACAGCATGAGAGTCGATCTAATTGGGATACGATGACGTGTCGACTTTCAGCGACCCTGACCACCCGATCCCGTTAGTCGCCTCTTACGACAAGCATGGGTTACTTAAGACTGATCATAACCTGGATCTTCACAGGTAAGATGCCTCTTATAACCAGCAGAGGTTGCTAAGGACCAGATCTAATCTGGAATCTCAGGGGTGGAAATAACTTTAAAATTGATAGTGTACTCCGGTACAGTGGCACATGTAAAGTCACTTGCCCTGATAATTTTTTCACTATACCGACTGTTTTCTTGCTGATTTTTTAAATAAACAATATTATTAACATTGGAAAGTCAGCTGGACACCGGTACAGTGTGATATACAAATTTGCTAGCCCAACAGATAAAAACACTGGACTCAGACGTCGGGCAATGGGTTATTTCCACCCCTGAATCTCACTCGTTGCCAGGGATCAATTCTAAGAACAGCACTGGTTGCTAATAGGGACCAAATCTAATCTTGATTCTCTGCACTGAGTGAGTGAGTGAGTTTAGTTTTACGCCGCACTCAGCAATATTCCAGCTATATGGCGGCAGTCTGTAAATAATCTGATCAGGACCAGACAATCCAGGAATCAACAGCATGAACATCAATCTACGCAATTTGGATACGATGACATGTGTCAACCCAGTCAGCGAACCTGACCACCCTATCCCGTTAGTTGCCTCTTACGACAAGCATGGGTTACTGAAGATCAATTCTAACCCGTATCTTCACGGGTTCTCTGCATTGAGACCAGAATTTGTTGCTGAGACCAATTCTAACCTGGAACCTCCTTGTGTATCTCATGTCAACAGTGAACATGGTGAACGGCAATAACATTCCAAAACCGGCATCTATTTATTTTAGATTATTTTGCAGTAAAATAATGTTAATGTATTTATTAGTTAATGCTCTGTATTGTTTTGCTTGATAAATAACTCTGTACACAGGAATATTCAAGTTATATGAACACAGCCTGAAAGCTTCAGTCAGGACCAGAAATTCCAGTGATTGATACTGTAGACAACCAAGTCCATGAGCGGCGCCACTTGATCCTTAAGACGGAAGAGGATATATTCTTCAGGTTTATTTCACTGCACTCAAGAGAATGTTAAAATACCGATAAATGTATTAAAGCAAATACATAACACAAACATATAACCTGTGCTCGTTAGAAACCCTCCTCCATGGGAAGTGTGCAAAACAGGGTCATGGTCGACCAAGTTAAAAAGTGTCAGGGTCATATTCAACAAGGTCAACAAAGTCGAGGTGAATTAAGTGAACATTGTACCGGTCTTATCATCATCTGTACTGAGTGATCTCAACAAACTGGACACTTCTATGTGGAACAACTTGAGATACTGCTCTCCTTCATGGAACAGAAACGAAACCGAAAACAGTAAAGGAGAAAATTAGGGGCTGCTTTCTGGACATCAAGACAGGGAACTTAACCACATGAGAATCAAACTCTGATCTTCTATCTCAAGCAGACAGCTTATCATATTTACTGTTGTCTTTGTATATTCATAACTTTTCTGAGCATACATGACATGTTATATGGATGACAACTTCTTTTTATTCTTTATACGATGTTACAGAGCTGATTCTTGTTCCTTCATCAGGTTAATGCCGATGTATCATGTATTCATGTTCATACAACTTCTAAATGTTTAACCGCCTCCGTGGTGTAGTGGTTAGAGCGTCCATCCAGAGTGCGGAAGGTTGCGGGTTCGATCCACGACCGCGTCATACCAAAAGATGTTAAAATATGGTACTTGTTGGTCCCTGCCTGGCACTCGGCATTAATGGGTACAACAAGGACAGGTCGGCTCGGAGTCAGTATAATGTGTCTGAGTGGGGTATTCATGCTTCACTGCAGCGTGGTATCTCAGTGGGCTAGCACTATAAATCCAGCTTAAGTCTGGGCTAGTACAACCAGCCGCACATACACATACACATACACACGCATGCACGTCGTCATATGACCGAAATATTCTCAAGCACGACGTTAAACCCAATTTCAACTCACCTTTTAAGAACTCCTTTTCGGAGCAAGCATGCACTTAGACAACCTTTAGTACCATTGAAAGTTCTGCCATGTTATGATTGGAAATTAACATTTTTCTTAAGGAATTCAATATACTTGAATATGTAGTCACTCAGTCTGGTCATTTATAAACCCAGGCAGTTGGGCAGCCACATTTCAACAAAATTATACAGCAAGTGCTCAGGAACAAAACTAAACAGTTTGTTATCAAATGGTTCTGTTCATAGGTTCATTAAAAGTGGGGTAGCTCAGTGGTTAAAGTGTTTGCTCGTCACACCAAAGACCCAGGTTCGATTCCCTACATGGGTACATTTCTGGTGTCTCCTGCCATGGTGTCACTGGAATAATGCAAACAGCGGCATAAAATCCAACTCACCACTTATATACCTGTCAACCTGGGTTTTTTTACATACCAGCCAGTAGACATTAAAATAATTCCATAGAATGATGTCCCAGACATTGCACACATTACTTGTGTCCTGGGTCAGTTGGATGTGATCACTGTTCATGGCCAAACCAGCCCTATTGTACTTTATTCACAAAAGAACAACTCAAATATCTGCCTGCACCATGTCTGTAAACAAAACATTGAAAGGAAACAGTATGCATGATGTATTGGGATTTCGATTTGTTTTCTTACATATTCTAAGTAATCCGATATGAAACAATTAGGTTATGGCGTATTTATGTTGACACAGTACACTGATATGTAGTATATCTAGAGGTCTGGACCTGAATCACCAAACTCTAATCTTGTCACTTGACAAACCACTTTGTCAGATCATAGGATAAGATAAGCATACACTTGACAAGTAAGACAAACAGTCAACATATTTTTTAGAGATCTTTAAGAAAGCAGGCAGTGTTTGCCTTTAACAATGAAAAGCTGCCAGCCCTAAGGACCCAGAACCATAAAAAGTTGTGGGGCCTGATCAGAATGTGTAGGTCCTTTATTATAATATGTAAATACTAATTGGGGATGGAAAAGCTGTCAGCCATGAGGACCTGCAAAATCCCCAAAAAAGAAACCCACAAAGGGGAGAAAGAGAGGAGAGAAAAAAAAAAAAGAGACTTGGTTTGCTGTTTATAAAATGATCCTTTATATGCAAAGACTCCTAAGAGTCAAGGGTAATCCCTGCCTGCTGTGACATAAATCAGTGAGTGAGTTTAGTTTTGCGGTGCTTTTAGTTTTAGCAATATTCCAGCAATATCAAAACGGGGTACACCCGAATTGGGCTTCACACATTGTACCCATATGGAGAATCGAACCAAGGTCTTCAGCATAACATGCAAACGGTTTAACCACTAGGCTACCCCACCACCCCAGTCGTTAAAGGAACTTATACCACATCACACGTTGTACCCGGGTCTCAGGCATGACGAGCGAATGCCTAGACCACTAGGCTACCCCACCACCCCGGTCGTTAAAGGAACTTATACCACATCACACGTTGTACCGGGTCTCAGGCATGACGAGCGAATGCCTAGACCACTAGGCTACCCCACCACCCCGGTCGTTAAAGGAACTTATACCACATCACACGCTGTACCCCGGTCTCAGGCATGGCAGTTTAACGCCTAGACCACTAGGCTACCCCACCACCCGGTCGCTAAAGGAACTTATACCACATCACACGTTGTATACAGGTCTCAGGCATGGCGAGCGAATGCCTAGACCACTAGGCTACCCCACCACCCCAGTCGTTAAAGGAACTTATACCACATCACACGTTGTACCCAGGTCTCAGGCATGACGAGCGACGCCTAGACCACTAGGCTACCCCACCACCCCGGTCGTTAAAGGAACTTATACCACATCACGCGTTGTATCCGGGGTCTCATGCATGATGAAAGCGACCCGCCTAGACAGGCATGATTTGTTTACCGCTTCAGACCACTAGGCTACCCCACCACCCCGGGTCGCTAAAGGAACTTATACCACATCACACGTTGTATCCGGGTCTCATGCATGACGAGCGAACGCCTAGACCACTAGGCTACCCCACCACCCCGGTCGTTAAAGGAACTTATACCACATCACACGTTGTACCTGGGTCTCAGGCATGACGAGCGAACGCCTAGACCACTAGGCTACCCCATCACCCCGTGACATGAATGAGCTGGAATGTGAAGCACACACATTCTGAGGGTCCCTATTTGGTGGGTAATTGATAGAAATATACTTACTATCGCTGTCCTCGCTGAACATAGAGTTTGTTTCACCATCATGGTCCTTCCTGCAATGAAAAGGACTTGTCACTTAGAGGACAAAACTTATTGTGGACTATCAAAATTGTCTTTACAATTGTAACATATGTTATATAAGGGATTACATTATTTTTTACTGTTTTTGGTTGAATAGGGTTTATTCCTATCAGATTTGAATCTACGATAAACGCTGACTCTTGTATCATCAATATATACAGGGATGAGAATGAAGTTTTGAGAAAAACTCTGAAAACTAGCCGAAGCTCCGGATATTTAGGCATTTTAGACCTTTAAAACTGGCTCAGAAATGACAATATCATGAACACAGCAACCATTCAAAAACTTTAAATCTGCTGAAGCACATTCATACAATTGCAACGGATTTAGAAGATTCACAAAAATGACCCTTGGCCTTATGAAATTCCTGGAATTCCGCGGATCCACGGAAAATTCTCATCCTTGTATATAGGACAAGGACCTTTGATCCGCCCATAATCCAGAGGGAACGTTTATGACATAATTATGAGGATCTATTAATACACAAGAACTTTACTTCTCTCACTCATCGGCCTCTGTAAATTTGACATAAAAAGTATGACAATAGTGTTTTACTACTTGGCAATCCTATTGGTTAATTCTATCTTCTGAATCAGATCCTTGGTTCCAAAGGGTTTATTTCTATCAGATTTGAATCTTCGATCCATGCTGAATCTTTTATTATCAATATACAGTACAAGGACACTTTGATCTTCACAGTGACTTCCTTGCTTATCTTCAGAAAAGGCAGAATCTTTGGATGGTGAACTAAACTCCTGAACAAGAAACACTCCCTGCCCAGTTTGCAAGTAACGAATGCTATTTGGTGAATAGGTCCCGAGTCTATATCCAAATTCAGCGCAGGGTTTTACATGACGCATGATTCCTGCGTATTTGACACAACAATTTTCTAAAAGACTCTCAAAATATTATCATAAGAGTCAAGCTTGACGCAAGTTTTATGAGTGACCCTATGAATTCAGTTCAATAAATCGATTTGATAAGAAAACAATGATAGCATTCGTTTTATTGCAAACTGTGTTGAAAATGCTGGTGATATTAACAGAAAGTACGGGAGTGGATAAATATAGAGCCATGCTAGAATGTGGTAAAGATACCAGCCAATAGCATTTGAGTATGTCATTCACTATATTTAGACAGCCAATAGACTCCCAGATATTGAAAATGACTCCCAAACATAAATACTGTGAGTCAGCATGACTCCCATTTTTTACAAAGTCTGTGTAAAACCCTGTCAGCGTCAACATTAAGGGAAGACATGTTACCACAAGGTCATGATACAAATAGTATCAAGATATGCATGTCTCTTAATAGTCTTATTTATGTCAAATTGTGTGGAAACGTCTTGACTATAAGTATTTCAGAGCAGGTTCTAAAGGATAAACTGTTCGATGCAGTTATGTTTTTCAATATTTGACCGGCCAAAACACTGAGGTAGGTAGGTGGGTTACTGAAGTGTTGCAAGTAAATTATCTTATAAAGTGTATATCGTGTCGGCTGCCAGGGATTTACTGAACGCAAATTCCTGCATCCTATACTCATAAAATTGACAACGGACGTAACAAAATTTATTAGCGTGTCCACAGGGACGCAGAAAATGTCCAAATAATGTTTGTAACAATTCGATCAAGTAACAATAAGTTATCACTGAGTTTGCTACTAGCTGGGTTATGGTATCATTTGCAATTTTATTACTGTAACAATGTCATGATCACAATACACAATACAATAACAGTAACTGAATTACAACAATATTACAACATAGTATAAATAATAATATTTAAGTGCCTGGGACCCCCATTTTGTAGTCCAGGACCCTTGAAAAATAAGAGTATGAGTCCTAGGGACCCTCAAATACAGGACTCAAGGTAAAGCCCTGGGCTACCTACCTGAAGTGAGAGTTCTGTACACCATCAGTGAAATACGGCTGTCCAAAGCCAAGAGTGTGATTGTTTGTTGGGTTGTCAAATGACTCATCTTGTTGATGAGTGACCGGATCGTCAGATTGGTCAAAGGACGACTCTCCAACAGGACTAGGAGCGGAGCTGTCTTTCATGGTTTCATCGTTACTATCGGACATAATACTCCAAATATTGCGACCACCTTTGACGTCCCCATCACACTCATCATAACTACTGGAACTCTTAGCACTATTAGGTCGGGAATTGCACATCCGTTTCGGATTTGTTGGCCCCTTTGTTTCACATGGTTCAAAACTCGTAACGCCCTGTTTGCATGGTGACACATCTGTCTTTGACACAGGCACCTCAAAGCCATTTTCATTTTCACTTTTGTTTAACTCACAGTCGTCACTGAAATTTGATTTCTTTTGGAATGTATCAAGTTCTTCTTGAATGTCTGTAACGAAATCTTTAGGACTGTCCAAATTGTCATCTTGACTAGATGCTTCTCCTGAATTTCCATTGGTTAACACAGGACTTTTGCACTGATTTGATTGGTCGACTTCACATACATTACCACAGTTACCCACAAAACATTCAGCGTGACTTTCGATTGAATTTGCTGCTCCTTGAACCTCCACTTCTTCCACGAAATGTGGCACTTCAGGTGTCGGTGGACTCTTCTGCACATGACACAAGTTTTGGTTTGGACAAACAGAACTTATATTTTTCAATCTACCCCTTTCTAAATCATTTTCCTCCCTACAAATGACAGGCATTTGTGGGCTGGCTGGCAGTGTGTGTTCCTGAATAGTAGGAGATCTAGACGTCCGTAAAGCACCCTGTTTGTCCACTGTGTCACAACATTCGCTGCGGTCGTACTCCGGCGAAGACGGCAGTTTGCGGGTGCCACAACACGTCCTAGTTTGGTGGTATTCCACACTGTCCAGACCCTGCTGTTTGGTGAGCTCATTGCGCTTCTGGAACTTCTCAAACTACAAACAGATGGAATGAAAGACATTAGTTAACTGTTGTCTAAAGTAGTGGTGGTCCGATTAATTGTAATAATCGAAGATTGGTCTCAGTGACTAAACGACCAAGCAATCGATCATGTTTTCTCATAATCGAACACAAACAATTCTAGAACACTTGTTTTCATTAACAGTATTTTTCACTAGGTTGGTTTTGTCTGTTACATTTCATAAGCACTACAAGCTCGTTCCAAGTCATGATTGAATTTACATGTATCTTAAAGACTTAGAAATTTATGTTCCTCCATACTAGTCATCCTTTAAAGATGTGAAATTTTGCCCAAAAACCCCAAGAACTATTTTTTTCCTTATTTTTGTGTGCATAAATGATGCTAACCAATTATTTTCGATGATTGATCGGTTGTAATGAACCAATCATCAATTATGAGATTTTAACCAATTCCCAACACTAGTCTAAAGGTGCCGCACAAAACAGGGGTGTGGTCGAAGCAAGCCCTCTGATTGGTCGATGCTTGTAAATTCTGCACATTTTTCATAAATTCGCGGGGAATTTTTAATTTCAACGCCTGCTTGACTTGGAGGCAATGTAAGAAATATTTTCCAGCAATGGCTTCTCAAAAGAAAGCATCAGCTGTAAATGTCTCCTTAACAAGCGTCGACCAACCAGAGGGCTTGCTTCGACCACACCCCATATTGTGCAGGCTTATCCATTTGTGACTAGATCGTTTAGTTGAGGGTCAAAATCAGCTTTCAATCAGCTTGCAGAAATAACAAGAATCGGTAGGTATCGAGTGGTGATCGATAGTGTTTGAAATTCACAATCCCCTAAATTTGCAAGTTTAAATCAATATGGTTATGAATTTACTTTCATGATCAATTTTACACTGCGATTTAATAAAACGAAACTAAGCCTCAAGCATATCAATTGGTCTTGTTCTCAATAAATTATAAGCAATACTTTGAAAGATTAAATATTGTTATGAATAACTCATAACCTGAAACAGGAAATTCTAAATATCTCAATAATTTGCTGTCAAATTGAATATAAGCCTCTGAGATATGTGATCATATGGCACTTAAAGAGCATGATAACATTTAATATCTGTATCAATGTGTATGGTATGACCTCTATTAAAATAATTGTACAAGTCAGCATTTCAGTTATACAACGATTGATCGGGACTCAAAATTCTGTCAGAAATAAGAAAAAAAAGGAAGTATTTCTTGTTTAACACAGCTTTTTGCAATCCTCCGGCAACATTAGGGCTTGGGACACCACAAATGGTATTCGCACGAAGTACAAATTTCAGGATTTGAACCTAGAACTGAGAGGATGAAGAGCAAAACAATTTCAACACTAGGCCACCTCACCACAAACCAGAAAACTTGGGAATATATTCTGATAACCTCTTTGAGTGGCATTTTAGAAGTTAGGAGTCAGAGAGCAGAGGCCCAGATAAGCTGCGTATCCGGGTACAATACACATAGAATAACGCACTGAAAAATAATTGTTGCGTACCAATAATGCATTCAAAATGTTAGATACTCAGAAAGTTTAAAACAAATGCATAGGGAATATATTTATAAACATCGCTTGCGTAATGAAAAAGACATCGATTGCTATCAAGTTGTACTGTTAGTATAGGAGAAGTGTTGTACTGTCAGTATAGGATGAGTGATTTTTATGAAATCATTTCCATTATAATTTATATTTAAGTTGGTTTTGATTACCGCCTCGTTTTCCATTGACTGCTAGTTTACGGTAACATCGGTAAAAATGTGTGAATTTAAATGGCTTCCGTATTTTACCCCATTCCATGTGAGTACAACTTCTGCTTACCACGTTCATGAGGGTCCGTATAACCTTAGTGTTGATTATATATATTTTACATAAAAACTGTAATTAAAATTACATAATGCTAGGTTATATTTCTCTGGGTTAAATAATAGTACTCAGTATTATATTTTACTGATGACTGCGTCAAAATTCGTCCCGTTATATTATTGTGCATGTTTGAACTTGAACGCCGGGAAAGGTGCACAGCTGATTGCTATTCCCGGCTCAGATACACACGGTATTCTTTATCCCTGCAAATAATACAATGCCCAACAAAAACAACTTAGAACTTAAAAGGTAAATAATCTTGTCTAGTGAAGTTAAATTGCAAATTTGACGTCTCTACTGACAAAGTCGTCTTCTGTTGTTTGTTCATGCGAAGTGATACGATATTGTTTTCTTACCCCTGGAAAAAAGTTTGACGAAAGCGCAACCCATGGATAAGACGACCCCTTTCTACAGACAGCTTTTTTTGGTCCTCAGACTTTGGCTTATAGACGGTAATATACAGTAGGTATGACATAAGGCAGAACATACCTGCTTAGTAAACTTACTCAATGGCATATACTTAGGTGAGTAAAATGACTGAAATACGCACATATTTGAAAGCAGTGGGTAACAGAAAAAGAAATACCCACTCAACATTCATAATACCCACTCCAAAAAAATACAGTGGGTACAGTACCCACATGAGCTAAATCTTATCTGGAGCTCTGAGATAGTACATCGAAGCATCGTGCTCTAGAATAAAAGAAGTTGTCATCCATATATACTTGTTCTATCTATATTCTGATACACTTAAACATACAAACAAGCTGATTCGGCCATTTGAGGATTTGAACCTGGAGCTTGGAAGACGAAGATCAGAAAGATTTCAACACGAGGGCACCTCATCACATAAAACCATAAAACTTGACACTGTACATACTGATACACTTAAATATACAAGCTAATCTGACATCCTAGGGACCGATCCACATGACTTTCGTAGCACTATGCCATTCATAAACCTATAATACAGTATAGTGTTACAATAGGTTGTAACGTTACGAACACTTTGTGGATCGAAACCCGGCATGTTTTTCTCACCACAAACTGGAACTCCGAGTGAGGCTGGCGGGAATACTGGCCCGGCTCAATCTTGTAACCATTTGTGTGTCCGAACGTGATCTTGTCACCCTCAGTAAGAATACTTGATCCCTTGATCTATGAAACAGAAACGTGTGTGTAACAAACTGTTTTATAACTGATTCTACTGGATTGGTTCCGCAAAATTTCTGGCCAATCAACAGCACCAACAAACAGCCTATCATGAAATTGTTCAAGAAACAAATTTCATAGACCTGAGAAAGTTGATGAAGCAAATCGTTACCGTGACACTGTTTATAACACTGCTACAATTATCTACATGAATGATGAAACAAGCCCTTTCCTTCATATCACAAGCAATTACTTACCTTAACATTGATGCTGAAACAAAAAACGTGGAAATAGACATCATGGATGAAACCAGCACTTAATCACCTTGACATCGTGGATGAAACAAGCACTTAATCACCTTGACATCATGGATGAAACCAGCCCTTAATCACCTTGACATTATGGATGAAACCAGCACTTAATCACCTTGACATCGTGGATGAAACAAGCACTTAATCACCTTGACATCATGGATGAAACCAGCACTTAATCACCTTGACATTATGGACGAAACCAGCACTTAATCACCTTGACATCATGGATGAATCCAGCCCTTAATCACCTTGACATCGTGGATGAAACCAGCAATTAATTAATTGACAACATGCATAAAGCCATCACTGAACCTGACATCATTTATGAAACCCCAAAATCACCATGAGATTATCGATGAAAACAGCACATAATACTAAACATACTCAATGAAACAGCACTCACCCTGACATCGTTGATGAAGGTTCCGTTCAAACCCTTTTCCTGAAGGAAGAACACATCACTTCCGCCCTCTCTCGTTTCACCTATTATAACAGCATGATGGCGGGAAATGAAGTTCTTCAGTATTTTAGAATCCAAGAAGAAATCATTATTGGGACTTCTACCGAAAGTGTTGATGCCGATCTTTAACCTGAAAAAACAGAAAGGAAGTGTTGACCCTGATCTTTAACCATGAAAAATAACAAAGTGATTAAAATATTTTGACGGACACTTATTAAAATAACAATCAAGGCAATTAAAATGGTTTTAACATTGACACCAGATAAATAATTAACTGTAAGGAAAATCCAGTGAATGTCCAGTGTACATTGAATGATTAGTATTTCTAATATAACCTCTGGATTCATAATTATTTTCACAATTTTCAGGTTTAGATTACCGTAGATAAGCCGACCCCATATATAAGCTGAACCCCTATCTTGACCCTTAAAATCAGTGTCAAAATGGCATGTTTCATACATAAGCCGATCCCCCGAGATGGGGTCCTAATCACAGCAAACAGAGACCACAGACAACTGGCAGTTACCGATAATTCAGTCCGCATTATTCAAAGAATTCACAATCATATTGCGTCTACTCACGCCTCGAAATGAAGTGTAGTTTACAGAATGGATAATATATTTTGTTTCGTTAAATATCCTACTTATTGTAGTTGGACGATCACATGTCAACAAACTGGCTTGCTTATTCTACCCTATTCCATGTGCGTACAACTTCCGCTTACCACATTCGTGAGGGTAAGTTTTTCGGTAATCATTTTTTAAAACAATTTCTATCAAGAATCATGTTCCTTGTTAGCTTATACTAGTAACACTGTTATTATAAATATATAAACTTGAATGTACGCCATGAAGACTGAATATGTTTATCACCAGGTATACTCAAATAAGCTTGCATGTTTGCCATAAACATCCTTTACTACTAATCATGATTTTTATTTGAACTTGAAAAATCGATAGCAGAGTTGACTGCCTGCAGCAGGCCACATTAATGAGTGAGTGAGTTTAGTTTTAAGCTGCTTATTGCAATATAACAGGAATATCACAGCAGGGGACACCAGAGATGGGATTCACACATTGTACCCATATGGGGGATTGAACCCAGGCCTTCGACGTAACAAGTGAACTCTTAACCACTAGACCACCCCATCGCCATTCATGAACAGTTGGTGGTGGTGGTGGAATTGGGTTTAACGTCGTGCTTGAGAATATTTCGCTCATATGACGACGTGCATGCGTGTGTATGTGTATGTGCGGCTGCTTTTATTAGCCCAGACTGAAGCTGGTTTTATAGTGCTAGCTCACTGAGATACCATGCCACAGTGAAGCATGAATACCCCACTCAGACTCAGTATACTGACTCCCGAGCCGACCAGTCCTTGTTGTACCCATTAATGCCGAGCGCCAGGCAGGGACCAACAAGTACCATATTTTAACGTCTTTTGGTATGACGCGGTCAGGGATCGAACCCACGACCTTCCGCACTCCGGGCGGACGCTCTCACCGCTACACCACGGAAGCGGTCTCATGAACAGATGGACAGAACAAACTGTTTAGTTTTGGTTCAGAGCACTCGTGTATATATTAGTCGAAATGTGTACAAGGCGCATGCTTATGACAGACTGACATATAATAAACTGTTTTTCTGTCCTGAACATTTGTCGTAAATTTTAGTTTGAATGAGAAATCAACGACAACAAGCCATTGGACATCTAGATGCTGGTCAACATTCTTGAGTCATTGCTAATGACTTCAATTGCAGCGTACAAACAATAGAATGTCTTAGACAGTGATACAACACCACCAACAGCACTGATGACCGACCACGTAGTGGTCGCCCCCCGTGTAACAACACTTCGCCAGGACTGTCATATCGTCCACCAACACCTCTCGCTAACCTAGCCATAGCTGCTGTGTTCAGAAAACAAGTGAACAATGCGCATCTTGATTTCAATGTTGTGTTTGTGCGAACTCTTGCCTTTCCACAAACAAAAACATTCTAGCCTCAATCTCAAACAATACTTCGTAGGGCAAAACAGGCTATACGACCACGATTAAATGTTGTCCTCAAACTTGACATAAGTTGTATATTAAAAAATACGAAGTTCAAATATTCCATGGATATTTAAATGTCACTTCCAAATTACATCATTTCTTTTACTAATCAGCAGGGATTTACCTTGACTGCTTCACTGAGGGTCCCTGGGACTCATACTCATAATTTTCAGGGGTCCTGGACAACAAAATGGGGGCCCCAGACACTTAAATATTATTATTAATACTGTTATTGTATTATCCTCACATGAATTGTTTCTGCAATTAAATTGCAAATGATACCATAACCCAGCTAGTAACAAACTCAGTGATAACGTATTGTAACTTGATTGGAATTTTTACAAAAAGTATTTGGACGTTTCTGCGTCCCTGTGGATGCACTAATAAATTTTGTTGCGTCAATTCTCAATTTTTAAGCATATAGGACGCAGGAATTCGCGTCCTGTAAATCCCTGCTTTCAGTATACTTTTTGCACGAAATTCTCAATCATCATCAATGTTCCGGCTATTGATTTGTTCAAGTTATTGCTATCAACCAATCTAAGTTTAACTCACATGACTGGCTAATTAACAGATGAAAGGTTATCTAATGGTACTATGCAACCAAATTTAGAATTATCTTTCAAGAACATTGCAATGTAACCATGGTAACAGGAAACTAAGTCTTGCCAGTTTTCATCTTATTCAAAATTGATACGGAATTTATATATTCACCATGACAACTGTTGACACATCATTTACTATCAGTAGTGAATAAATGGTCTTCATCATCCAATACTGGTTTCTAGAGGACATATCGCTTGTACAAGATCAAGCGATAACTCCTAGGAGTAGGAGATATAATTTTGGTAAGTTTTGAGCTAATTGCTGATTGGTCAACATTTTTGGACTACTTTCATGTCCCTTAGCTGTAAGCAAAGATGGCCACCGCAAATAAGTCATTTTTGTTCTTGATTTGTTCTAATGACGTAAAAGTTAACTAAAATGCTACGAAGAAATGGGGAAACTTATGCATTGCAGAATTCAAAGCAATACATGTAAGCCCTACATTTTTATGTGCTTGTTTTCTAAGACGTAATGGTGTCACTCTATCCCTCTTCCATCACTCTTGTTCACTTGGATGTATTCATATGCAAGTCTTCAAGTGAACTTGTTACAGGTGACGTTTTGTTTTTAAATTCTCTTGAAAGACAAATTAAGTGAGTGAGAGTGAGTTTAGTTTTATGTGACACTCAGCAATATTCCTGTTATAAGATGGCAGTCTGTAAATAATCAAGTCTGGACCTGACAATCCAGTGATCAACAGCATGAGCATCGATCTGCTCAATTGGGAACCGATGACAGGTGTCAACCAAGTCAGCAAGCCTGACCACCCGATCCCGTTAGTCGCCTCTTACGACAAGCATGGGTTACTGAAGATCAATATTCTAACTCGGACCTTCATGGGTCAAAAGACAAATTAAGTATGATGTTGGATGATAAATAGAATCTCACCCTTGTGTCTTGTGATATCAAATATATCACCACTCGTTGACAAGAGTGAGAAAACTAAGGCTTGGATGGGATTCTCTATACTGTATATACCACATGTGTTTTATCATGTGTTATAAACACCCCATATATTTACACACCTTCGTAGACATCCGGCACTTGGATGTTGCTATGGTCCCACGTCTTTATGAAAAAAGACACAGAAATGAAGCTCCGAGATGTTTTCCTTTCTCTAACATAAGTTTCTCAAATCTGAATTCATAATTTCAGTGAACTAATGTATAGTTCGGCAAAGGTTTGATATTGGGAACAACAATATACTAGTATTTTCCAAACATTGTGATACGTACTCATTACTGTTTCAGATTGTGATATACCTGTTATATTGCACACCTTGATTTGTTAGGATTAAACTCCCCTACAATTAAGTAAACATGACACTCTTTAATGTTATACTTCAACATTTAAGCTACTTGTCTAAATGTCCAAGATATTTTTATGGATTAAACTTCTTTATAATTTCCCTCACGACGTTTTGAGACCATTCCAGGTCCCTTCATCAGGTGAACTGACAGTTGGGACTATGACGTCGTCACTATGACATCATAACTGAGTTATGACGTCACAATGCAAGTGACATCACAGTACACAAGGGTGAGAGACATCATACTTGTCTAAAGCCGAAATCTAGTAGTATTACCCGATTATACTTGGCACAGACTGATAAACAACAAGACTATATTAGTGAAAGATCGTGATATAAATTTAACGACCAGATTTGACTTGCATTGGGTCCATTGTTGACATCAAAAACTAATTGCACAATACAAAACCAGGTTGCACCCTGCTTCCATAAAATGTAATGACATCAAGCCCATCGACATGAACCCATAACACAGGGAATATTAACAGAGAATGCCAAGCAGTGAGTGTAATCCATTTTTAGCAATATTCCCACATTATCACTTTGGGTACACCAAAAACTGGGCTATACACATTGTACCCAAGTGGGGAATTGAACCCAGCTCTTCAGCATGACATCAAGCCCACCCAGAATGACAAGGACTGACTGAGTGAGTGAGTGAGTGAGTTTGGTTTTACGACGCTTTTAGCAATATTCCAGCAACAATACGGCGGGGGACACCAGAAATGGGCTTCACACAATGTACCCATGTGGGGATTCCAACCCGGGTCTTCGGCGTGACGAGACAACGCTTTAACCACTAGGCTACCCCACTGCCCCAGCATCATAATTAACATTGGAAAGTCAACTGGACACCGGTGCAGCGTGATATACAAATTTGCTTGCCTGACAGAAAAAACACTGGACTGGGACGCCGGGCAATGCGTTATTTCCACCCCTGCAGTACCCTTTAAATATGTAATCCTGGACTATACAATCCAGTGACTGACATCATGAGCATCCAAATACACAATTGGGAGAAGATGACCTGCATCATATAAGTCAGCGAGCCCGACCACCCAAACCCATTAGTTGCCTCTTATGACAAGCATGGGTTGCTGAAGACCAATTCTATACCAGATCTTCACAGATCCAGTTATAAATCATTTTCCATCAGTTATG